CCTATGTACATATGAATCGCACTTAAATGCGCCTGGTCTGAGTGCGAGAAGGCGTAGTCCCATGCAATAACGAAACCCTAAAACCCTATTGCGACAAAGCTTGGGCTATTGAACCCCGACTATATTGAATTAGAACTTGAATGTACGAGTATCAGTTTACATAAGGTTGTCGTATGTTTCTTCACAATACTGTGTGCAGAAACAGTACCTAATGAAACACACCAGTAAACCCCAATACCACTGCATCACAAAAACAAAAAACAAACCCCCCTCCCCCTACTTGGCCTTCGCATTAGACGTGTAATCTCGAATTAGTCGTTTCCGTGGTTGCATATCTGTCTATCTGGGCGCTTGCACAACACACACTATCCCATGCGATGGGTCTATCTACCAACGCAACCCACGGTCACCAACTCGCTCCCGTTTCGTTTACGTGACTCATATAACCCACTCAGAGGTTGCGCACAGCCCACGTCAGGCTCACAATCACAACTTCATCTACATAGCGTATAGCAAACAGCATGTATGGAGATGAATGCTTGCCAGTACACACACCCCCACACGCTCACAGGGCAGTTGTTAGTGTGCAGATTGGGCAATACAAACTCATGCACCGGTTGGATAGATACGCCAGCATAAAAAAAATACACACACACACACACATATATATATATATATATATGGACGCATGCCAAGTACACTCTACTCTGCTCACTCACGTACGTACCTACGCAACCACACGAAGACCTATATCCACAAGCACAGTACAACTCAACCCCACCCCGCAACAAAGCAGAGACCCCTACCTACACGCACAGGGCAATCCAGTCTAAACCCACCTTGTGCGGCGGCCATAGATGACGCGCCACCCATGCCACTCAGAGGATCCGCCACGGGTTCTGAGGGCCCCATATCCAAGCCCAACAGGTCACCCATGAGGTCCACTTGGGGTGCAGCACTTGCACCTGCCCCGTTATTTCCGGACCGGCTACGTTGTGGTGAGGGCGAGCGACTATCGCCGTAGTCGTCTCCACTGTCGTGGTCTGTATGTGGGCGCATGTGGGTGGTGTGAGAGTGTAACAGATGTTGCACACCTTCAATTGCAGAGAGATATGTATGCGGAGTTTAATATATATATATATGTATATAGATATGTATAAAGATATGTATATAGATATGTAGGTAGATATAGATATAGGATATATATATATATGTGTGCAAAAATCCGTGTGCGTTGACAGCAAGCCGAGGAATTGGTATGCATATCGCGGCTGAGAGCTTATAGCCGGCCATCGAGCCATACCCATACGTCACTCACTTTGACTCGATATTGTACCGAACATCTCGACACACTACTCCGCACGTTTTCATACTTTACCCTTTTCTCAGTATACTGGCACACCACATACAATCTCATACACAGTACCATAGTACACTCGGCCGATGCACTCAGCTACACGACGGTGGCTGTATAAGTCTGGGTGTAGGTATAGTCAACGCCACCAGTGATGTACATTGGGAGACATGTACATGCATTTCACTTGCTGGCTTATAACAGACCTGTATTACCAAATAACTCGTTTGTTCACAACATACATGCACAAGCACTCAACCTGCTTGTTTATAACAGACCTGTATTACCAATAAACTTATTTGTTTACAACACACATGTACAAGCAATTCCCTTGCTGGCTTACAACAGACCTGTACTACCGATTAACTTGTTTGTTTATAACACACAAGCACAAGCACTCAACCTGCTTGTTTATAACAGACCTGTACTACCAATTAACTTGCTTGTTTATAACACACATGCACCAGCATTTAACCTGCTTGTTTATAACAGACCTGTACTACCAATTAACTTGCTTGTTTATAACTCACATGCACTGGCATTCAACCTGCTTGTTTACAACAGACCTGTACTACCAATTAACTATTTTGTTTATAACACACATGCACAGGCTTTCAACCTGCTTGTCTATAACAGACCTGTACTACCCTTTAACTATTTTGTTTATAACACATATGCACAGGCTTTCAACCTGCTTGTCTATAACAGACCTGTACTACCCTTTAACTATTTTGTTTATAACACACATGCACAGGCATTCAACCTGCTTGTTTATAATTGGCAGGTACGGGTAATTAATATGCTTTGCTTGACTATACACACATGCACCAGCAATCGGTTCGCTTACCTCTGCCTCGCTCCATGGGCGGTGATCTGGGAGCCTGCAACCGTGCACCGGGAATTCGGTTATCTGTGAATGCGGAGGGTGGCTTGTGGAATATCTGCACATGAACGGGTTTGAGGAAAGCGTATACGTTTTGAGATGCGCATTGGATTGACAAGACGAGGTATGAGGATACGATACAGATGGAGAATGATGAAGGTCTGAGAAAAGGGTAGTGAGTAGATACGTACGTATAAGGGATGTGTACAATATGTTGCGAGAAGTGTAAAAGAAGACACAAACAGATACAAAATATTACAACA